GGCTAATCATGTTCGTATTTTGCATACTTCAAATCACTAATACTGCAAATATAGAGAATTCAAATCTTTTCCTCGTAAATCCTTTGAGAATGATATGTTATAAGCCCAGAAGCTGAAAATTTGATAGTTTTCATCTTCGCAGTATAAGACGTCTGTCTAATTGCTTTTTCACACATTTTATAAAAAAAATTTCAAATAATCTTTGTCTGTGTTTGAGTCTGTCTTCTTCGCATTAGCTGCAAAACAAAGAGTAATCACAAAATGAGATTTAGAGAGTGTGCGAGACGCGTTCGAAATGTAGTCGACATATGTTTTCGATATATTTTCTTAATTTCGCGCTTATAACATAGCATTCTCAAAGGATTTTCGAGGAAAAGATTTGAATTCTCTATATTTGCAGTATTAGTGATTTGAAGTATGCAAAATACGAACATGATTAGCCCTCTATTTTAGTTTAACATATGAGCATGTACGGTCGAATGCGGCGCATCCAATGGTACAAACCGGACCGTTTAAAATCATATTTTCTTTCAAATCTAAATCTTGACACGTGCTTAAAATGACTTTCCACAAAGTAAAATCGAGTTAACGCTCCAAATAATGGCTATGGGGAAGAACGCTTTATGCCACCGTGATCAGCTCGTCGAGCTCTACAAACTAGGATATGCCCCATTGAGAAGTGAGAGTGACACTTGGGACCTTCCCTCGTAAGACTTTTTTGTCTTTTACTAACGTTGTCTGTAACAAGCGGCGATGCTTTTGCTGGTATGCAAATAATGGTAGTTTTTTCTTTCATCAATTCTGTTTTTACTGACTTTTAGTTTCGAACTGCTCTTTTACCAATATTAATTCGTTGAAATTTCAAGGGTGAAATTGTGAATTGTCTAGTTATTTGAAAAATTCTAGAGTTCTCTCTTTTGAACTTATTATTTACACATCATTTTCATCCTCATCACTTGAGACGAAATGATATTTTTCAATAACTGTGTTATTTGTTCTCTTTCCATTTTCAGCTAAAAAAATACACAGATGTCTGAGGAACAACAGCCACAAAGTCATGCAACAAACAAGGGATCAGCTGTTTAGATGATGCAAAAGCCTTATATGTGCAGCATTTTGCATGATTGGTGAACCGGTGGCTAAGCCAGAGCCAAATAGCTTCTTTGAAAATTTCCGCGCTGTTTTTGGTTAAAATACGTTAGAAGAGAATTTACTAAATATCAAAAATGAAGATCTTACCTTGCTTTTTTCTTGTTTTGAAGAGGATACTCTGCATCCTCCACTCATGAAAAAAATGAAAATATTTGCATTTAAGACTTTTGAGCTGTGAACAAATTTTCCTAAGTTATTTGGTAAAAGTAATAGTTAAAGTTATTTGGTTTAGAAAAATATTTTGAAATTTTCTTTCCACCAAAAGATACTTTACAATCAAATGTATATGGGTAAAGGTAAAAACAATGAAAGGCTTGCAGCACATGCAGTCCCTAAAAAATGATTCCATATTCTGACCAGTACTATCAAGAAAACAGGCAATAAGTATACTAAACTAATCATATGAATGAAAGGTCTCAGTTACACATGGAACTAAACAATCAACAATGTATCTCCTGCTTCTTTTGTTTATATGCGTATCATTGAAAGAAAATACAGTAGCATGGATCGGGCATATCATACAGGGTTTCCAACTGTAACAGTTCAAATGTGGGATTAATGTAAAATAAGGGACATCTCTGAGATGACGTGTATCACATGTCCGTCGTTTTACAATTATTTTCCAAGTGAGGAGCATTCAGGGGAGTGAGATTTGTCCCTCCCATTACGAGGGACAAATCTTCAACTGAGAGACTGTCCTTTACATGGAGAATATTTGACAACTCTATGATACCGTACCTTAACCTGTGAGAGTAAAACACGGAGTGTCACAACATTTTTATTAGTAGTCTGTACGCCAATGAAAACAGAAGAAGAAGTCTCTAAGAATGTTCCTAGCAGCAGAAGTACTGCATAATGCACTAAGATGGCAGCGCATTTTGATTAGATAATGTAATCCGATTTAGAAATCACTTTCTTTCTATACGTCACCTGCTACCTACGATCTGATATACTGTGCGGGTGCATATGGAGAGCACTAACACAGAAACGGTGAGCATCCGTAATGCATGAAATTTATGAATGAATTTATTCTCATAAAATGAGAGATTACTAAAGCAGAGTTGCCATCTTTCGAAGTTCGAAAAAACAAACCCAAGTCAAACAAAACGTATACGACCGTATCTGAATCGGACAAAATCATATATGAATCGTGGTATCTGATTTATCCTCTCGATCGTATAATACGATCGTACAACTTCGTATGAAATAGTGTAGTACGAACTAGATGACAAATCAAATACCACGATTCGTATCTAAATCGTGCATAATCGTATATGATTTCGTATGATTCGTATACGATCTTGTATGATCGGGTAGTATGATTCAATCATCTGGGAAGACGCTTCTAGACGCATTTGTAAGACTATTAGCCGCAGCATCAGATTGAAAAATCAGATTGAAGAAGGGTGGTGATTCACTTTATGTGGATCAGCGATGGGGAAGTCCAGACTCACACGGACTGACTGGAACTGAAGGCGTACGAGACTTGGAGTAGAATGAGACTGATTCGGACTGGGACTGAAAAAACACCGGACTTGTCCATCTCTACTTTCGTATAAAAAAAGGAAACAAAAAGTCCTGTCTTGTTCTTGTTTTTTAACATTCAAAAAAATTTTGTTGTTGTCTTTTTTTGTTACTATAGCCGTGTAAAGAAACAGTTACTCTCTGATAAAAAGAAGAAAAAAAAAATGGAAGTGGAAAACAATGTGTGCTGTGGCCGACTTCGGAGTTAAAGCTTAGCGAGCTGAGACTGATTCGGAGTCAGCCTCTAGTGGACTGGGACTGAAAATATATCGGACTTGCCCATCTCTGATGTGAATAAATTCATTCACTTTATAGATGTATCAGTAAAAAACAAAATTTATCAAAAGTCAAAAATCAAGAAAAGGAAATAGAAAAGAGGAAAAGGTGACAACCCTGTAGCAAAGGTCATCTATAACGCAATGACTCTTGCCAAACAAATAAACAGTTTATTTTAAAAATTAAATTTAAACTACATAATTCAAAGAAACAACTGGAAATTCGAGTACTCTGTTATGCAGATACTAATAAAGTTGAACCCAAACAAAAGATGTTGAATAAGTTCAAGCATTTACAGAACATCTGGGACGTAGGTGTAATGAGATTTTCACGTACATATGAAAATCTGTATTAACTATGAATGAGAATAGTAGATTCCACTAATCAAATTCAGTACGAATAGATTTCTTCACAAATCCGATGCTCTCTTCCCAGAAAAACTAGCTGCTTTAATTATTTCTATTGTTTTGTATGTTTAGATCGTATTTGATATAGCATCGTCGTTCATTTATCATTGTGTGAATCTTTTTTGATTCGACATCAGTGGCTATGTCAGGTGTTAATTTGCATAATGAATCTCATCACAACCAACGTCCATCATCAACACGTCTTTATGATAAATTAGATAAATGTAAACGAAATAATGATTTTTATCAAGCACATCAAATCTATCGTACAATTTATTTTCGTCTGATTAATCAAACGCAACGAGAAGAAGACAATTTTGTTGAAATATTAGATTTTATTTATAATGGTGCCAAATATTTTCTTGAACAACAACAGTCAAATAGTGGTTATGATTTATGTAAATGTTTCATTGAAATACTGAATAAACAAGATAAATATGACGAATTGAACGAAGCTCTTCTGTCAAAAATTTGTAAATTATATGAACTTTTGCGTCCCTATGGTGATGAACGCACTGAATTTACGTATAATATTTTAAGATGGTCTGAAACAATTCCTTCATCATCACAACAACAACAACAACAACAGGAACACTTACCATTAGCATCCACTAAAGCACAAACATCCTTTTCATCATCAATTTTGTCAACATTAATCGAACCATCTTCATCAGCGACAACACCTCAACGAAAAATTTATCATAAAAATGGACATCCTGAATTGCATGAAAGTTTTGCAAAAATATCATGGAATGAAAAAAATTATAAAGATAGTCGCTATCATTTCCTTCATTCTTGTGATGGTATTGAATGTGCCAATATGCTTATTGATTTACATACAAATTATGGTTATCCGTCCGAAGTTGATCTATTTATAACACAAATTGTTTTACAATATTTATGTTTGAAAAATTTTCATACAGCCTATCTTGTTTTTGTGACATATGTTGAGCGTCATCCTCTTATTCAACAACAGGCACCGTTTCGTTTGTATCCAATATTAAATTTTGTTTGGTTTTTATTATTATGTTTAAAAAAAATGTTGATCAAAAATGCAGCAACAGAACAACGAGGTAAGCAGAGATAATAAGATAATGTCTTTTTCATACGAATACTTTAGCGAAAGGATCAGTTGATGACGAGAGAACTGCTTTCTAATTATGTTTGTCTACTGTGTCTCAAGAATTTTTGTAGCGTATTTGGAGACGAGTACGAGTCGATATGTTGTATGATTTGTCTTTCTCATGATCTTCAGATACAAAAACAGACAACTATTCTCCTCGCACTATCTGTCAACAACAAGCACTTCTCACATCGTTTACACCAAAAGTCAAATGTTTTTCAACATTATGTGAAATGTATAAACCATCATTAGATCGTGATATAACATTATTATATTATCTTGAACGTATTGGACAGTTATTTTTTGGTTTAAAACAACAAAAATCATCAAATCGTACACCAAGTATATTTGAGAATCTTTTTCAAAATCTGTCCACTGACTCATCTTCATCAAGCTACGATCAAGGATCATCGAATAATTTTATGACAAATTTATTTTCATCATTGCATCAACAACAACGTCAGCCAGCATCTATTTTACACGACAGTGACATGGATTTTGACCTTAGTGTTGATTAAAATTTCTTAGTATCATTCGTGCCATATCTGCAGATCTGTTTATGATCTTAAACGACGTGAAAAATTAGGTCTATTTTTTTCTCTTTCTTTCCTAATGTTATACGTATTTTGACAATAAAAAGAAACGTCTTCTTTTTAGCTATAGTAGCTTTAATAAATGCATAATCAAGTGGTGGATCCAGAATTATTCTTTGATATATGTGCGGTATACGATAGAAGTGCGAGATACGTGCGATCATCATAGAAACAAATTATTTTAAGAAAGTTCTGCTGGGAAAGAACAATTTTTTGGTTAAAAGGTACGAGCGACCGCTTCTCGGCTATGGCTTTCTTGTCAGAGTAGACACCACAAAACTCGAATTTCCACTTTTCTGTAGAGTTTGCCATAGCATTCCAAAGCATTTAAGTGAAAAATAAAGTGAAAAAAAGTTTTTACAAAAATGCTCATTTTTCAAGTTGTAAAAAACATAAAATGCTTATAAAATTTGTTGTGAACGTCTGAACTTCAAACGAAATGATAAAATAATTGCAGAGAATTTAATTATCTATCGAATGGTGTGCTTTTAAATTTTTTCAAAACCTGTCTAGATCAGAAAATTAAAATTTAAAACTTTTAAAATTTTAATTTAAAATTTTTTCAATCAAATTTTTATTTTTATTTTATAAAAATGTCATAGTCGCAATCAGCGTGGAAAACTGCATCCAGTGATGTACTCATATTAATTCTACCATGGAAAAGCTTTTTCAAAAACTTAATCAGGTAAGTGTCGCAGTACGTGGACAAGCCGTATACATTGACGTATAACGTCCCAATCAGACTTTGTGTACTTGGAAACACTTTTCTCGTTTTTATCCATCAACAGATAGAAGTTGGTGAGATGAGCAGGGTACAAACAACCTGTGGCTCTACTTATTTGTTTTTGGTTGTTAACCTCTATATCACAAACAGAAACGCGTTTATGGAGTAAAAAAGATTTTTCCAATTAATAAATATTTTCACAAAGTTTCACTAAAAAAGACTGAACGTTGCCATTTTTCAAAGTTACTTTATTTAGAAGACAGCTGCAGAGTAGCGATTGTCGATAACCTAAAGTTAACACTTTGAACGTATCTCTTAATAGAAAGAGAAAAGTTCAAAAGTTTTTTAAAATATAGTGCAAATAACTCTAGAAAATGTTTTCACTAGTAATGTAGTGAAAAGCGACTATTTTCATGCAAAATCGAAAAATCTATTACACATCTGAAAACAATCTAGATTTAGATGTTGCTAAATCTGGAAGTACAGTAAGTTAGAAAAATATCGTGGCTCTTATAGAGGAACTCTGAAAGTGCAACAAGTTCTTTTCACACTTTGAACCAATCATATACACCGACTAAAATAGAAGTTCTCTATCCGTGAGAAAACAAACAAAAATGTTTGTATTTGAAATTTTCGAGTTGCAAGTGAATTTTCTAAAGATCTTCGCAAGAAGATTCGCGAAGAAGATTATGAAAATTCTCGTTTTATCCGGTTTCAACCCTGGTCCCATTTCCATTTCGTACGAGGAGAATACACGGTCATCAAGGTATGATCACACGGCGAGATACGAAATTGGAAATGAAATTGCTAACGCAATCTTACTTAGACTTGCCATTTTCCACGTAGCAAAAGCCTGACGATCTTGACGTGAAAAAATTTGTGATACGATCGTGACAAGAATAAAGTGCGCCTATGATTAGTGAACATGTTGAGTTTTGGTTGGGAAAATGGTTACTCTCTAGCTGACTTGTAAGAAAATGACGAAGTTCATTTTGTTTTCCGATACTATAGCAAAATAGTAGGATCTTTTTCTGTTTGTTGAATGACAAAAAAACAGAAATGCTCATAGCATTGTAAGAAGTAGACGTAAGAGCAGTGTGGATAGGAACGTTTTTTTCTCAAATATTTAGATGAAGTTAGGCAAAACCATGTACAAAGTATCACTACTAGTCCTAAGGAGCTTTCTGAAGATTTAGAGACATTTCTTTATCTAAGAATCATCATCGTTCATCGGTGAGGATGGCATGTGCCAGTAGCTGCGTCTTATCGTGATGTCAATAGGTAGTAGGTGTTTTGGTCTCTGATATAAAAAGAACACATAACCGTTAATTTAGATGGATTAGCAATAATTACGAGAGTTGAATTTTTTGCATATACAAAAGGTCTTTCGTTTTCAGCTTTACTAGATTCATATCATTGTTCTTTTTCTTTTTATCTATGAATTGAGATTCATAATAAATATCTGCTGAATTCGTTTAAATAAAACAAGATTAAATAAATGAATTGCTTTTTATGATTTTTGATTTGAATAAAATAGATCAAAGTAATGAGGCCAGTATCGCTTTTAACGAGCACTTAGAAACATCACACGTTGCGTAGAATGAGAAATTAGAACTCCTAAACAGTTTGCCTGACGAATATAAGTTCTTGGGCTCTATGCCATCATTCGTATGACTGTGATTTGTGTTTTGCTTTGAATCTGTTTCTTCTTGTTGTGTAAATGGTATTTTCTATAAGAGATAGCACCAAACCACTCTTATATCTTGCATCGGGGAACTCATCAAGTCCATGCAAGTTGACCACTTCAGCTGGACGGTTTATATAATCTCGCGATTGGTACTGCTGCTTTTTTGTACTGTTGTTATTGTATTTCAGACATATTGTTCATTCATATGCATTTTATAACAGGTATACTATAAATAATATCGGTCTCAGTAGTTTTGCTCTAACTCCTGTTCCTTAGGTCTTCTAGAGCAAATTCTTTTTTTAATAGAAGCGCTGTGAAGTTCTCTACAAAATGAAAACTTCAATCAAGAAAAGTAAGCAAATCATATGAAAGGCGAGAAAAAAATGAAAACTTTGTAAAGGAGGGGGGTTAACGTCATCAGGAAACGGCCTCCTGAGTTTTTTGCTTATTTTGACTTGACTGTTGTAGAAAAGACGTTTGATCACGTGTTCCAGTTGTTCTTATGGAAAATAAGCTCAAAATACGTTTTCAACGTTGATTGTTTTGAGATTTCATCAGAGGACGTCGTCGTTAGAAAAAATAAAATAT